CATGCAATGATGGGCCACAAAAATAGTATACGGATATAGAAACCAACGATCTCCCTTCCAGGCTTTCCAAGTATACTAAACCTCCACTTCTATCTGTCGATCTCTCTTTTTTGTGTTTATTTCATGGCCACCAACTATTTGAAACTTCTGTCGATAGAGCAAGGATCCTGCTTTGTCTCATGCTTCCTCCGGAAAGTGTGCCCACTAACTCATAATGATGAGGGACATGCCCTACAATGGTGAAAAGGAAGTTCAATAGGGAAGAGTCAATATTTGGCAGAGGGGACTTGAAGATTCGAAGTCAAGGGGCAGTTACAGTGGCAGTTATGGTGTAGACGTATGGGATCATGCAATGATGGGCAACAAAAACAGTATACGGATATCGAAACCAACGATCTCCCTTCTAGGCTTTCCAAGTATGCTAAACCTCCACTTTTATCTGTCGATCTCCCTTTTCTTGTGTTTATTTCATGGTCACCAACTGTTTGAAACTTCTGTCGACAAAGCAAGGCTCCTGCTTTGTCTCATGCGTCCTCCTGAAAGTGTGCCCACTAACTGCATGACTAGTGCTAAAAACTTCCCCCATCACTTCTAGGTGACCCACATGCAGAGAGCCCACTTTCAAGTGGTGGACATTCCTTCAGACTTGGTCACGTGTCCTCGATTAAGTGGACCATCTATCGACAGAGATTGGCAAAACTTGGTGCAAACAATGGCTCCTTTGTTCAAGTTAAATATCATATGAATTAACCTTGCGGAAGTGATTGAGACCCCCTCCAATCACCACCTGTACCACCACCCCACCCCCCTCTCTCCCCCTCCCCCCACACGCACGTGGGGGCTGGTGATTGGAGGTGAAGGAAAAAATAAAGAAAAAGAAATTAAAAAAATTGGCCAATCAAAGAGAGAGGGGGTCATGGGGGTGCCCCCCTTGTGGGGGTCCAAGTCATATGATATTCTACTTCAACAAGGGGACCATTGTTTGGGCTCAATAGCAAATTTCTTAATAAGGGCCCAAAACAAACATAAACTACAGCCCAATATAAGAGCATTTAAATATACTGGCCCCATCATAAGCTATAAAAGACCCACCTTTTCAACTTCAAACCACTTCATTTCCCTCTGATTCGAACTCCCCAGACTGTACTCCTTCTTCTCAAGCATTGTCATTCAAAACCAGAGCACCACAAAACCCTAAGCCATGGCTCCGAAAAAATCTCAACCATCTCCATCTGAGGAGAACAATGAAGACCTACTCCGCTTCCTAGACCCTATCAGAGCACATATCGCTTCTCTAAAATTTGGTGCAACCCTATTGCCCAGCACAAGCTCTGTCGCTAAGGCTACTCTAGGCCCTACCTTCGCGGCTTACTTCCCAGACGAGCTAGCTCCATACTATCCCCTTGGTAATGGTGAGAACCTTCTTATCAACCAACCTAGACTTAAGTGGACTAACTGGAATGTCAGCAAAAACCCACTCAGATCGTGGAGGTCACCAGACTTTGTTTGGCGAAACTGGGCCAGGAGAATTGAAGGTCACGACGCTGATGTATGGAAGCACCAGGGCATTAGTGAAGCAAGTAGACTGTCGACGAAAAATTATGACATGGACAAAGGACTGATTGCTACTGCTGCGTGCTTTTGGTCGCAATCTTGTAACTCCCTACTCCTCAATTTTGGTATGATTTCCCCTACCATCTTAGATGTAGCTCACTTGACTGGTCTCCCAATCTTGGGCAATCCAATTCATGCTCTCCTTGAGCCTCCAAAGTGACCTTTACTTTAAACACTGACATGTGCTATACAGATTTTGTGACGCCCTGATTCTACGCTATTGGTTGCAGACAAGGGAGAGTCACTAATGAGTCCTATGGTCAATAGCCAAGTAAGATCCCAGAGCGCCGGAGGAGTCAAAATAGCCTCCCTTCTAAGTCCAGCTTTCTTAGGCAGTGCACTACCCTTTTGACAGATCTTAAAGGTATTGACACAAGGTCTCATAAGCAACGATAAGGTTCATACATATAAATATATAGAACATAATAGCCATGAATATCCTTTATTACAAAAGTTCGTTCCATTACATTACATCCCAAAAGAAAGTTTAAATCTTTGCATGAGTCTTATAAAATATCCAAAAGGAACTCCTAACTTTTTTTTTTCTAGGATAACCAAAAGTCTTCAAATGTTTCAGGTTCGACATCTCCAGCTATGAGTTCCTCGTCGTCACCTGGCATGATACGCCGTGAGCTTTGATTGCCCAGTAAACACACACACACACCCCACCCCTTTTTCCCAGTCCAATACACAATCACAATTATAACGTCAAATAGTAAAGCATGATACTTCAATAAATAAATAAGGGTTAGGTTAGGTGTTAGCAACTAGAAATCCCCCAAAGAGATTTCGTCCTCCCAACCACAAGAATCGGACGCGGATTATTCGGTATGCCCCCTCTTTTGCTACTTTGTTGCAGAACTAACCTCGGATGCCTACCAACGGTTGTATACCGCGTAGCGCCAACCGCAGGGCCTCAAAAGAGACGGTGAAATAGGGCCTTACCCCGAATCCCTCCTCACACCAAACCACCTAGGGTCCGAATATAACCGCTCCGTTCAAGGGTTCCGAAAACCACTTGCGCAAGACTTTAACTTCAAGTAGGGAACGCATCCCAACAATCCATATGACACATATTCTCATCTTTTCATTTCTCAAGTGCTCGAAAACCCAATACCCTCCCAATTAGGTTTCCCGTTGAATTAAGTGTTTTAAGTCAGGGTTAGTTCAACTAAACGATAAAATAAAATTCACATAAGCATGCCTCCTCAAGATAAGAAGATAATTAACATAACATACCCATACAACATTATGCCAAGATATGATAATAGGCCATTAGACATTTTCATGAATACAAGGGTATAAAACATCCAAACATAACAAATTTCTAGATTTACATCACATGAAGGTTAATATGGAAGGACTACTTAGGTTCATCCACCGGACTCGGTTTTCCTTATGGTTCGTAGAGAATTTGATCTAGTTCCTAGAACATCTTTTGGAAATGGGATTGCTTTTCCCGATTTTAAGTTATTTAGAAAATAGTCTAGCACTATTCCAGAATCTGCCCAGATCTGTTGACTGTTACGAAAACTTGATTTTCTTGCAAACCACTCAATGTTTTTCGATGAAACCAATTTTAGTTGAAAGCTAACTCCTTAAGGAAGGTTTTGACATAAAATAGAGGTTCAGAATATTTTTTTTACAGTTTTCTGGAATTTTTGAAAGTTGACTAAAAAAACAGGTTTTAAGGTGGAATGCCCAAAACAAGGAAATTTATAAAAAAGGGGGTTCCACCATGGGAAAGTTTTCATTTCTTTTGTGAAGAAAATATGCTAACTATCACATGTTTAACTTAGAAATTTGTTTGAAAGAGTACCCTTGAAAAGTTGAGAGATTTGTACAAAAAAAAGATGGTTTGTACCAAAATGAGGAAAATACAAGAGAGATGGAAACAATACTCAAATCTTGGTATTTTTAACATAAGAACATGATAATAACAGATCTGAAACATCACTTAAAATCTTTAAAAGGACATGCATTAGAAAAGAAAATAAAGAGAAGGTTGTGTTGGTGGCTTACCTTCTAGCTTTGCACAAGAAAATCTCTTCTTCTTCCCTCTCCTCCTCTAGACTCCTCTTCCTTGCTCTCCTCTCTCTCTCTCTCTAACCAAAATGTGTGTGTGAGTGAGTGTGTTGTGTGAGTTTGTAAGCTAGGGGGTGTGGTGTATATATATAGGCATTTTTGGTGTAAAAGGACATAAAAGCCCTTTAGTTGAAAATGGATGGGAAAGCTAGGATTTTGGTTGGTGTCAAATGGGATAGGTGTAACTAAGGTGCTAAATCATAAGTTTTGGCATCAATTAGTTGATCTTTAGTTGAAAGGTAACTAGTTTTGAGATTTGCAACCTAGGTCTAGGTCACTAGGTTTGGATTTCCTAGAATATTATGATGATATATATTGAAAATTGGCTCATCTCTTCTCCCTAGGATGATGGGGTTATTTTTTTATTAATTTTACGTACATGCTTAACTCAAAAAGGATACATCCTGTTTATATTGGCGAGAGATAACGTTTGCATGTTGCTTCTGCAGGCATTCTCTGCCGACCGACTTCATAGAGTACCGACCGGTAATAAACTGGAAGCTGATGGATTCATTATGTGCCGATGACCACCAGACCACTGCCGGCCTAATCCGGCTAGTGAAATTCATGTTCCGATAAAAATTAAAAATGCTATCTGGCAAGATTCGAAATAGTTTAAGAAACTGAGGGGCTTTAAGGAAATAATTCAAATGTAAGGGTTTTTTTTATTTTTTTATTTTTAAAGAAAATACATTTTTCTGGGGCTTCACATTAAATGTAATGAAATGAGGAGGATTAGAACCTTAATGATGTATTTAATTATGATCTAGTTAGGTCTAGGACTAATGTAAATATCTTCTAGTTAGAAGTACACACATATATATACACACATACTCCATTTTGCCAAAATGGCAATTTTGAGCAGCCGACTACTGTTCTTCGAAGGTTTCGGGCTCGTCG